TTTTTTTTGTACCTAAGTCTACATTTGTAAGTTCAACTTTCATGATAAAGAGATTGCACTGCAGTACCTGTATGAGGTGAATTGAAAAATATTTTTTTTTGTTTTTTTACAGTACAAATATTTGTAATCAAATATAAATATAAAGTGAGCACTGTACACTTTGTATTCTGTGTTGTAAGTGAAATTAATATATTTGAAAATGTAGTAAACATCTAAAAATGTTTAAAATAAATGGTATTCTATAGTTTAAATCATGCGATTAATTGCAATTAATTTTTTTAATCACTTGACAGCCCTAGTATTACCATTTGGCTTTATTTCTTGCACTTAAGTTTGATTAATTGTATATGTGAAACAATCAACATTAAAATTAAGGTATATTTCCTTTTTTTTTTTATTACACCAATTGAAGATATTTAAGACTTAAAAAGTTAAATCACATAACATTTGTGTTTGCAGTGTTGTTGTAGTCATATTGGGCCCAGGATATGAGACACAGAGGGTAGATGAGGTAATACTTTTTATTGCACCAACTTCTCTTGATTGAAGGGACGTGCTTTCAGGCTTCACAGAGCTCTTTCTGAAGTCTGAAAGAAAAGTAACCAGAGTGTCACAGTGAAATACAAGATGGGACAGATTGCTAAGCATAAGGGGTTCACACATGTAGAAGACAACCACGTCAAATAAAATGGGCAATTAAGAATTAGAAGGCAGTAGGGTGTGTTACAAATTGTTATGAGCCTTAAAAATCAGTGTTTCTATTTAGTCCATTAATTTTAGTTTCCAGCAGAGTTATGAAGTTAAGCTCCCAGGCTCGTCTTTTGAAGGTGTTGTGCAGGTTTCCTTTGAGGATGAGGAGTGAGAGGTCATATATGGAGTGATCAGTTTGTGAAAAATGTTCACCCATTGGTGATAGAATTTGGGGTTATTATTTTTCCTGAGAGAGTTCATTCAAGAGCATAGTGATTGTCTGGTTTCATCCACATAGTTGTTGTTGGGGCATCTGATGCACTGGATAAGTTACACCGCTATCAAAAAAATGCCATTCAACACAAAATCAAAAAGTAGAACCAACTACAACACCTCAACAGACCACCACCTCCAGGAGAAACCATGACACCAGGACCAACCACATGGATATGATACCCAAACATCATCAACCTAACGTGACTACCCCTAACCAGACTGAAATACAGAGTTCAGACTCTTCAAGGGACTGAACTTCTGCCCCAGCACAAAACCACATACCATACTAACATGTGGAGAGCTAGAACAATTCTTATGCCGACTCCACTGCAAGGAATTCTTTGCACAACAAGACAACACCACCTACAACTACCACATACCCAAACATAGACATAAGAAAAAACAATCATTGACTGGACACATGCCAGCAGACAGAAACACATTGCTTTAGGGGGAAAAAAAATCAACTGTAAAACCCTCAACAAACATTACAATCACCACAATCTCTCCAACACCAAGAGGACAGCTACACAAGTCCCTGAAATCCAGTCCCATATAGTGATAAGAACAGATGACAAACAGCACACCATCATAGTCCTTAATCGTGAAGTCTACATTAACGAGGCTAACAGACAACTCTCCAACACCACCAACTACAAAGAACTCAGAGATGACCCCACACCACTATTCAGACAGGAATTTAAAGATGCCATCGAATCTTCCCCAAACAACTTCAAGAAAAACTTTATACCTCATCCCCCATGAACCTTCTACATGATTCCCAAGGTATATAAACAAGGGAAGACCCACGGAGACCCATCATATCTGGCCACAGCACTCTTACAAAGGAATATCAGGACTCAGAAGCCATCCTCAAACCACCCACCACACAAAGGGGCAGTTTCCACCAAGACACTAGCAACTTCCTTCCGAAACTCTGCAATGCTAACAACCTCCCCCAGAACACCATCCTTGCCAAAATGGAGGTTACCTCCCTATACACCAAACATCCCAAACCATGAAAACAGCCATGGGTACTAGCATAGCTCCCCAATATGCCAGCCTCTTCATGGGCCACCTCAAGGGAGAATTTCTAGGAAAATGCACCCCAAAGCCAACGATATACCTGAGATAAACTGTTGATATTTTCATCCTCTGGAAAGATAACCTAACCTTCCTCACATTTTCACAACAACTTTCACAACCTCCATGCACATCCACCAAACTCTTTCAAGAACACTCCCACCAGAATCAACTTCCTGGACACCACAATCAGCTTCACCAATGGAACCCTACGGACAACCATATACAAAAACCCCACGAATAACCACAGCTACCTCCACAGGTCCAGTAATCACCCCAGACACACCAAGAAATCTGTTTATAGCCAGGCACTCACATACCACAGAACTTTGCTCTGAAGAGAAAGTATGAGATACACACTTAAACCCGCCTTCACCAAACAAAGACGCTCAATGAGGGAAGTAGATCACATTGTGGAATACGCCATCCAAATACCCCAGAAGAGCCAGCCTCAATATGGCAGGGAACAGGGGGAATCACTGACCACATACCTCTAGTTGTGACCTACCACCCCACACTAAAACACAAATGAGGTATTAGGGCCTTTCGTTTTCAGTTTTTATTTTATTTAATTTTTCCTGGGAATTTATCAGTTTATTACCACAGCAGCAAAAACAAGTGAAAATCAGTGCAAAAAAACTTAATTTTTCTGGGTAAATATTGAGGTTTATTTTGGTGGATGGAAAGATAAGGAAAAAGAGTATTCAGTAGATTAATGCTTTGAATTCCATTCATCAATGTGGTTTCTTGCAGAACTAAAACAATGCCATCTCTAATCCCCAAATAAAACTTTTCATTTGAATAAACAGTTTACTGTTGTAGACTTAGAACTATTAGCCTATAAATATTTACATTTAATAATTGGGCCACACATTTGAAGCGCATAAACTCAACTTCATCCTTTTCTCCTGTTTTTGTATTTTTAAAACTTTCAAATACTTCCTTGTGTTCTGAAACTTATTCTCATACAGATTTTCATTTTCTTCCCATTTTAGTGTGTTAAATCTTTAAACCATTATCTGCTAACAGTTCAAAATGTGTATGTGGTGGGGCATGAGATTCATCAGTACATTCAAATGCACAAACACTTCAGAGCTTGCATGCGTGCCTGTTTGTTTATTGTGTGTATCTTCTAGACTAATACATAGCCTTACTTCAACAGGCAGCTTTGCATATATACACACAGACTAATGTATTATCATAATACATATATCTCATGCAATGTACTGTATTTTCCTAATAAAACAAGTTATTTTTTAATATATTTGAATGATATAAAAGTAGGGTGAAAAAAAATCAGAAAAAAATGAATACTTTTTGTAAAACCCGGGAATTTTTTGGTAAAAAACAGTTTCAAGTTAAACTAAGGGGCTTAGGTATCAAACAATTACAACCCACAGGAACCACAACCTGCAAAAAAAGTTTCCCAAACTCCCTCTTCTGACTGCCAAACCACCCCCCAGCCTCATGACCCTCAACCCATCTACTAAGGCATCACAGCTCAAAGCAGTATCAGACTCTGGCACAAACCAGGATGCAAAACCTGCATCTGGAGTTATATCTCCACTGCTACAATGATCAATACTCCCCATTCCCAACACACCCTCAAGAGCCATTGGTCATAGAATCATAGAATATCAAGGTTGGAAGGGACCTCAGGAGGTCATCTAGTCCAACCCCCTGCTCAAAGCAGGACCAACACCAACTAAATGGTCCTACACATGCCTGTAACAACATGTGGTATACTTCGTCCAATGCACTAAAGGCCCCAAACAACAATGATGTGGTTGAAGCCACACAATCACTACACACACAGACCATAGAAAAACAAGACAAGAACACCCTATCATCCATGGGCAAACACTTTTCACACTTGATCACTCCATAGCTGACCTCTCAGTCCTTGTCCTCAAAGGAAACCTGTACAACACCTTCAAAAGACAAGCCTGGGAGCTTAACTGGCCACTTTATTTGAAGTGGTGGTCTACAACATATGTGAACCCCTTATGCTTAACAATCTGACCCACCTTGTATTTAGCTGAGACATTCTGGTTACATTTTTTCAGACCTGAGGAAGGTCTGAAAAAAGGTCTGTGAAACTTGAAAGCTTTTATTGGACCAATTTCTGTTGCTCCAATAAAAGATATCATCTCACCTACCTTGTGTCTCATAAAATATTTATTTCAATCTAAAAAACAGACATGGACTCTCTTATTAGCATTCCACTCCGTTCATCCAGCCAGCCTCAGCTTATGGATCCTCCTCGGCTCTTTACTTCTGACATGTTGAGAACGTGCTCTTTGCCTTGCTGCTGACAGTTGGTGGAAACATGTTTAAAAATGTCCTGTTGGATCTAACAGAAGAGAGATTTTCATTGGCCATTTTACCAACAGCCATCCTTTGCACCCAAGAGAAAATATAAAAGCCAATTTTTTTCCGTGCCAAAGTAAATGAACACTAACACACCACCTCATCTTTCTCCTCACAAAATAGCACCACAAGGCTTTTGACACAATGCTCAAAGTCACCAAAATAACTTTAGACACTTGCCCAACAATAACCACTCTTCACACACTGGGTAGGATACCTTGTGGCAATATTTAACTATTTTGTATTACTTCCCCCCAACCCCAAGAAGTGCCACTAATAAATTAAACAAATGTAGCCATATTGACAGACAAGAGAATATAAAGCAAAGTATATAAGACAAGTTAATTGCAAATGTGACCTAAAGTCTCTTGATTCAGTATTTCCTGAAATAAAGAATCTAAATAGACTTTTTTACAAGTTTCACAGTTTCTTCTCTTAAAATATATATAGTTAAACTAAGGAGGAAAAAAACATAGTTCTTTAATACTAAGTGTAATGCAAAGTATTACTTCATTTTGTACCAAATTCTCTCACATCTCCAGCACATATAGTTTCAGGAATAACAAGAGACACTTAAATACCTTGTTTCTGGAAGCTAAAATTTGTTTAATAACTATTCTGTCTGCCAGCACCAGCACCTTTGTCACTGACGAAAGAAGCAATCTTGCAGCTTTTACTACTCCTGTTTTGTCTGTAAAAATTGTTATCCGGCCATCAGATTCTGGATGATCCAAGTTAGCTACATCTGTAAGTTGTGCAATTGTTTCACCTAAAAAAACAAAAATAAATAAATAACTTTTGTGCTTTTAAAACAGAAAAAAGCTGAGAACATAAAAAATGCCTAAATTAAAAGGGATAAGGGGCACCTGCCTTGCAGATATTGCTTGCTCCCTATTACTAACTATAGATGATTCTGCCTCCTCACTTCAGCTCCCAGCTGCTTGATATTTGCTCCTTCTCTCCCTCAAACATGACCAAAATTTTGGTTTTGCCCTCAAGAGCTTGTAGGTTTAATTTTGCTTCGGAAAAAAATGAAAGTTAGTATTGCTCTCCTACTTTTTTTCTTTTTAATAGCAAAAATTAAGTTCATGCAAGCACTGGAACAAAACAGAAGAACCCATAGTCCAACCAGCATTTATTCTGTCAAGTCCTGGCTAGTATTCTCACAAGCTAACTGATTTGTAGATTTCATTTTGTTTTAAAAATTGTCAAGTGTAAAGAATAAACAGCCCCCAACAGGAATTTTAAATATCCAGTAAAATAGTTTTGTATTTGTTGGGCTACTGGGGAAGCACTGTAATGACACTACTGTGTATAGGTTTTAGGAAGACGATGCAGAGTCAGACAGAAAGGAAGAACAGAGAAAATAAATGATGAAAATTATGTTTTAAAAATTGAATAATATAAAATTTCACAATTACAACACTATTTATTTACAGCAACTTTCTCCAAGAGCTAAGAGAATAAGGTTTGTTTTTATCGCTGTAACACAACACCAGTGCTCCCATAATGTACAATAAACATACTATTATGAAATCTAAAGTGTCTATATTAGAGGTGGGCAAACTACAGCCCACAGGCCGCCCCTGAGCTCCTTACCCAGGAGGCTCGCCCCCCGCCCCTCCCCTGCTGTTCCCCCTCCCCCACAGCCTGAGCTTGCTCCGCCGCCGGCGCAATGCTCTGGGTGGCGGGGCTGCGAGCTTCTGGGGCAGCACGGCCTGACCCAGTGCTCTGTATTGCGCGGTGGTGACGGCATGGCTGGTTCCAGCCGGGCGGCGCGGCTGTAGTGCCACCAGCGCTCCAGGCAGCGCGGTAAGGGGGAAGGGAGCAGGGGGATTGGATAGAGGGCAGGGGAGTTCGGGGGGGTGGGCAGGGGTCGGGGCGGTCAGAGGGTGGGGGAACAGGGAGGGCAGGGGTCCCGGGGGGGCAGTCAGGAATGAGAGGAGGGGTTGGATGGGGCAGTGAGGGGCAGTCAGGGGCAGGGGTTCCGGAGGCAGTCAGGGGACAGGGAGAAGGGGTGGTTGGATGGGGTGGGGTCCCAGGAGGGCAGTCGGATGGGGTGGCAGGGGGCAGTCAGGGGCGGGGTTCCGGGGGCGGTCAGGGGACGGGGGGGTTGGATGGGGCAGGAGTCCTGGTGGGAGAGGGGGGCGGATAGGGCCACAACCAATGCCCCTAACCGGACCTCCATACAATTTCCGAAACCTGATGCGGCCCTCAGGCCAAAAAGTTTGCCCGCCCCTGGTCTATATCAGTAAAACAGAAGTTACCTAGAACATGTTTGGAAAAATGTGGATCAAGTTTTTACTAATCTTGAGAAAACAGCTTTAAATACCAATCATTTACTACATTACTCACATGCTTTAAATGAGTAACTCCTGTGCTTTAAGAGCAAACGTAACAGCCCAATACCAAGCACAAAACATAAAGATGAAACACCTAATGCTGTCACACCCAATCTCAAAATCCACCATCTCTAGGTGACCATGTGTCCCATTTTGGCCAGGACAGTCCCCTTTTTAAACCCTGTCCCAGAGTTCCCAACTTTTTTGGCAAAACTGGGCATTTGTTCCATTTGTTCTTGCCAACTGATCCTCCCTTGGAAAGAGCAAACAGGACAAATGCCCAGTTTTCAAACTGTGGGGCACAAAGGAACATTCAGGGCTGTGAGCGGCAATGTTCCAGGGGGAGGGGCGGAGAGATGGGGGAGAGAGTGTCTCCACACACCCCAGAAGCTGCACAGGTGGTGTGCTGGGAGTCCTGTGGGAGCCTGGCTGATGTGTCTCCTCTGCACCCTGCCCCTCCAATCATGGAGCAATTGGGTGGCACATGCTCACTCTGCAGCCTAACCAGAGGCCAGTGCTGTTGGGGCCCTAATTCAAACTCTTCACCTTGTCTTGTGTATCACCCAGTATTCGTGGAGATGGCAGAGACGGCCGGGCCATAGAGCCACAACTCATGGTCCCTGCCCTATCAAGCAACCCAGCTGGTAAGTGCCCTACCAGTTCCTACAGAATCTGCTTGTGTCAGGACACCAAGCACAGCACAGCCCCTCCAGAATGCCCCCACCCCAGCCTTGTGCTGCTGCCCCCAAGTGGTCCATGGAGCCCCCCAGCCTCATGTCCTCCCCACCCCCTGTCCTTCGGGGCCAACGCCCTCCTCCCCCAGCGCCCCAACTAGCCTCTATCTCTCCCCAGTCCGCCTCCAGTTGCCTGCTTCTGCCAAATCATGGACTCCCTGCATCTCCCGAGGGTTGCTATCTGCAGTCTCCTTGGTCCATTCTGCTACCTGGAGCCTCCTTCCTGCCCTTCTACTATCCCAGCCCCCAAAGGGGCATTGCATGGCTAGCTGGATCATAGTCCAATAGCTTCACCTCCTGGTTCCGAGCTCAAAAGTACTCTCATACTCACTGCTTTGTTGCCAGATCCCAGCCCACACCCATTCCTCTACCCTCCGCTTCCCTCCTGCTCCCATCTCTACTGCTTGGCTTAAATAACCTGACATCTTACCTTAAGTAAGAGAGAATTGTATATACTGTGTATACATGTGTAAATAATGCTTTACTACTTTCTGGGAGAAGGCCTTTTAAACTGAACATCGAAGCAAATAGTTGTAAAAAAACAATTACCTTTCATATTAAATTTTCACTCAAAGGCAAAACAAGCTCTGCTTTAACTCAAAACATCACTTGTTGAGTTTCTTTTAACAAATATGACAAAATATAGTAACAGCAATTGTCATTGTGGATCATACAAGTGGCCCATCTAGTCCTACATCTTGTGTCTCAGTGGCCAATACCAGATGCTTCAGAAAAAAGTTGCAAAAACCCTACAGTAAGCAGTTACAGAAAAACCTGTAGAGTAAGTTTTTTCCTAATGTGATCTGTTAGGCCTGCTTATGTCTTGAAGCATGCGGGTTTATCTCTCTTCCAAAACTCTTGGGTTTTTCATTTTAATCCTTACTGACAACTAGTTATTCTTGTTATCCATACAAACATACAAATTTTTTTGAATCTTGTTAATTTTTTAGCCTCAACAGTATTTTCAGGCAATGAGTCCCACAGACTAACTATGCATTGTGTGAAAGTATTTCTCAGTTTAAAGTTATTCCTTTTTAATTTATCTCCTTGTATTATGGGGGGGGGGGGGAAGACAAGAGACAAAAAAAAAAAAAAAAAAAAAAAGAAAAGAAAAGAGGACATCTCCATCTACCTTCTCTATATCATTCATCATGTCCCATTCGATTCATTTGCTCTTCAAACCTAAACAGCTCCAGTGTCTCCATGCCACTGATCATTCTCTATCTCCCTCTGAACCACTTTCTGCTTTTTCTGCTATATATTTTTGGTGACTGTTTCGTTCTTTTTACCCTGTGACTGATAGAAAATACTGAAAATATAGTGTATCAAGAATGAAACAGAATGGCATAACTTTGAGGTTTTCATTGACCTCTCTTAGTACCACCAAGTACTCATTCCTGAGTGAACCAAGTATGCATGAGTAGTTAAAATTTACTTTTTCCAACCTGCATTACCGTACATTGGTCAACATTGGATTTAATCTGCCATGATGCTGCCTATTCATGTAGCTTTGTAAGGTTGTTCTTAAGGCTCGTCAGTTTTTCCTAATCTTGACTAATCAGACTTGTATGTTACCTACAAATTTACCTCCTCACTGTGTACCAACTTTTTCACGTGTTTATGGACAAAAAATTCTAACAGAGTGCAAAAGCCATGCTGGTTAGACCTATCCCATCATGATTCAAAAGTGTTTTCACCCTTCTCCCCCCCTTTTTAATTTATGTACACTAGAAGTTAAAAAAAATATTTTTTTGCTTGTTGTACATAGAAATCAAGTCACTGGCTACAAAACCCTGTAGTCAAATTAGTGTTAATGTTGGAGCAATAAACAAAACCACACACACCAAAAAATGCAAGTAGAATAAAAAATAACATCCAAAACGCTATCCAGGTCTTCAAACCCCCTCATACCAACTCTACAGCCATGCTTTTACCTACACAAAAACGCAACTTCATATCAATTTATTCAAACAATCAAGAATAACTCACTCCCAATTTTTTTATTTATATAGTTTAGCCTTAATATTTTACCTTAAGCACAGTGCAAGAGAATAAAAACAAAAATAAATAGTAAGATCAGGATGGAAAAAAACTTTTAAATTGTATTTAAATAAGATTTTGTATTTATATTGTCTTAGTTCTTTACTTTATTCCAATTTACAGTCAAATTGCTGCAGTGGGTGCTTGTACTTTTTTTTTATTTTATTTTATTTTTAACTAGTTTAATTGTTAGAAGAACTTCAGATTTGACAGGGGTTTTTTTTACTAAGAAGTTTCACACTTAAAATGCCAAAAGAGAGAAGCCCCAGGACCTCGTTGACATCCTGGTGGTGTTCTCAAAACAAAACTCAAACACAAAATTGATAAGAAAATAGCTAGAGCCCTGTGTGGCTACACAATTTATATCTGCAGATATAAAGCAGATATCCACAGAGCTGCAGGGCTCTGGTGACAATGAGCAAGACCAGCAGGGCCATGGCCAGCAACCGGGCCAGCAAACGCAGCTGCTTTCGCCACTGCATGTCAGGCTGCCACTCACAGGAGCCAGTGCCCAGCCCCGGCAGCTCCTCCGGTATTGCTGTGCCACCCCCAGCCTTGCCCAGTGGGGCAGGCACCAGGCTCACCAGCAGCTGTCCCTTGCACATACTAGTGTCATACTTGTGTATCCGGGAAGGGCTCTACCAATAGCCTAT